GGCTCCTCCCCCTTTCTGGCCACTGATTGGCTCCCCTACTCTGGCTCCTCCCACCTCCCTGGACCAAGTCTCTAACTTCCGCCAGAGGCTGCCTCAGACTCGGTTTTTTGAACTTCGGGGTTGTACTTCTCCAGCTGTCGTCAGTGCCCCGCCGGCCACACAAAACCCCGCCTGAGGAGCTTGTTAAACACCCAGATGCCAGGGCCTCAAGTCCACGGATGCTGATTCAGTAGGTCTGTGCGTGGGGCCCAGGAATCAGTAGCTTATAAAATAAATCCCGGTGATGCTGATGTTCAGTGAAATTTGGAAATCACCCGAGACCAAAACTTTGAGTCAAAAATCAGGGAAACCAAGACCCAAAGAGGCTAAGTTACCTGTCCAAGATCATACAGCTAATAAACTGTAAGAAACTGTTTGGAGGCTACTGGGCCTGCTGTGACGCTACGCGTGCCGCGGAATCACACGACACAGGGGGATGGATGGACACACGGCACATACCCTCTGCAAAACTAACCCTCGAGGCTCCCGTCCCGGGGCCTAATGAAAATCTGGGTCTTTTTAATTCTAAGCAAAGGACCCAAAGCCTGGGCCAGCGCAGTCCCTACGGAGCAAGGAGAGGACTGTGGTTTTTTGGTGAAAGGTATCACCCCGCAGGGGGCCAGGGCCTGGCATTCTGCTGCCTGGTCGGTGCCCTGGTCACACATCAAGCAGTGATGAAACTCGAGCTGCCCCTCCCTGTCCTCAGTTGTCCCAGAGGCTCCAGGGACCTGGCCTCTTACCTCTTCAGCCACCCTCCCCAAGATTCAGGTGTCACACACCTGGGCCCCTAGCCAGGCTTCTGGTTCCCAGGCTCCCTCCCCACCCTTCAAGCCTGTGGGGGCCCCCAGGAGATTGCGATTTCCTCTGCTGGAAAGGGCTGGATGCCCTGGAAAGGAAGGAAGACGCTGAGGCAGCAGGACCTCCTCCTGGGCCCCAACAGGCCCTTTCCCACTATCAACAAGCCCCAACTGGACAGGCCACTCTGGATTGACGTCCCCAGGCCCTTCACTGCCAGGCCTGCCCTAGTGCCCCTCCGGCCTTTGCCCTTGCCCTCATTCTTCACCACACACTCGCTGACGGTCACCCCTTCTTAAAAACTGCAGTCTCAAAGTTTCTAGTGTCCAGGGGATCCTGAAAGCCAGTCCTTGTGTTTCTCCTAATTGTGACCGCACCCTCTCCTCACCCCTCACTGGTGCCCAAAGTTGGGAGTGAGGTGTGCAGGAGACATAGGAAGAAGGGGGAAAACTCTGAAACTCACACCACAAAGAGTGGCCAAAATAACGACAACAATGATAATAACCTGACAATACCAAGTTGTGGCTGAACAAAGCACCTGGAACAGGCATGCGGTGCCTGTTGGGAATGCAGACTGGTACAGCCACTTCTGAAAACAATCGGTCTATTTCTTACGCAGTTAAACAGATACGTGCCATGCAACCCAGCAATCCTACTCATAAGTATTTGCCGAGAAAAATGGAAACCATGTACATGCAAAAACCTACGTGTGGATGTTTGTAGAGAAGCTATTGGCAATCATCAAAACCTGGAACCTCCCCCACCGTGCCTTTCAACTAGTAAATGGATAAATAAATTGGCATAGCCAGACAATGGAGTGCTTACTCAGCAATTAGAAGAAATGAAGTGATGAAATGTGGTGGAATCTCAAGTGCATTTTACTAAGTGAAAGAAGCTAGACTCCAAAAATTACATATCATTTGATTCTATTTATATGACTTTCTGGAAAAGGCATAACTTTAGGGAAGGATCAGCCGTTGTCTGGGCTGAAGATAGGGGAAGGGTTAACTACTGAGGGGCCGGTGGGGATTCTGGGGAGGGTGACGGAAATGTTCTATATCATGATTGTGGTGGTGATTATCTGACCATGTGCATTTATCAAAACTCACAACCTACACAGGCTGAATTTTACCGTATGGAAATTATACCACCATTTTCCTAAAAGCCCCTCTCACCTCCCGTCTTACTTCCTCAGTAGTTTTCTGCCACATCCTTGAGGACTTCTGCAAAAACCACAAAACTAAACCATGGTTAAATTTAATGTGGGATCCAAGATTGGCTTCCAGGACAGAAAAAAAAAAAGACATTAATGGAAAAACTGGTAAAATCCAAATAAAGTCTGGAATTTAAATGCCAATGTCATTTCTTACTTGTGACAAATGTCCTATGGTAATGGAAGATGTTGACATTAGGGGAAACAGAATGAGGGGCATAAGAGAGCTGTCTATATTATCCTTGAAACTTTTCTGTAAATCTAAAATTATTCCAAAATGATGGGGCACCTGGGTGGCTCAGTCAGTTAAGCATCCGACTTCAGCTCAGGTCATGATCTCACAGTTCATGAGCTCAAGCCCCGTGTCGGGCTCTGTGCTGACAGCTCAGAGCCTGGAGCCTGTTTCAGATTCTGTGTCTCCCTCTCTCTCTCTGCCCCTCCCCCGTTCATGCTCTGTCTCTCTCTGTCTCAAAAATAAATAAACGTTAAAAAAATTTTTTTTAATTAAAAAAATAAACATAAAAAGTTTTTAAAAAATAAATAAAGTAAAATTATTCCAAAATGGTTAACAATTATATACAAAATAATTGTTAATATACCAAAATATATTTGATAGACTTTTTATATTTTTATTATATACATGTAATTTTTATCATTTTGGAAAATTAGTCCCAGCTCTTTCGCATAGAGAAATGAAGACTTATGTTCACACAAAAACCTGTACACAGATGTTTATAGCAACTTTATTTGTAATAGCCCCAAACTGGAAACCACCCAATGTCCTTTAACAGGGAATGGTTAAATAAATTGGGGTATATCCTACATGAAAAAATACTCAGCAATGGGACGCCTGGGTGGCTCAGTTGGTTAAGTATCTGATTTCGGCTCAGGTCATGATCTCATAGTTCGTGAGTTTGAGCCCCGCTCGGGCTCTGTGCTGAGAGCTCAAAGCCTGGAGCCTGCTTCAGATTCTGTCTCCCTCTCTCTCTGCTCCTCCCCCGCTCGTGCTCTGTCTCTCTCTCTCTCAAAAATAAATAAACATCAAAAAGAAAAAGAAAAAGAAATAAAAACTACTCCGCAAAAAAGAAATGAACTGTTGGTCCACACACCAACCTGGATTAATCCATAGACTTGTGTTGACTGTAAAAAGCCAGGCTCCAAAGTTTACATACTGTGGGATTCCATTTATGTAACATTCTTGAAGTGGCCAAAGTATAGAAGTGGAAAACAGATTAGTAGTTACCATCAGTTAAAAGAGAAGGTAGGTTGATCGGAAAGTAGCTGTGATTATAATAAAATGGCAGCAGGAAGGTCCTTGTGGGATGGAAATGTTCTGTATCTTGATTGTGTCAACATCAGTATCCAGATTGTGATATTCCTTTTTTTAAGATTTTATTTATTTACAAATTTTTTAAGTTTATTTCTGAGAGAGAGAGAGAGAGAGAGAGAGAGAGAGCATGAGCAGGAGAGGGGCAGAGAGAGAGGGAAACAGAGGATCCAAAGCGGGCTCCACACTGACAGCAGTGAGTCAGATGTGGGGCTCGAGCTCACAAACCCTGAGATCATGATCGGAGCGGAAGTTGGACGCTCAACCGACTGAGCCTCCCGGGCGCCCCCCAGGTTGTGAGGCTCTAGTATAGTTTTGCAACGTTACCATTGGGGAACTGGGTAAAGGGCACTCGAGAAGTCTCTGCACTGTTTCTCCCAACTGCAGTGAATCTACAAGTATCTCAAAATTTTCAAGTTTAAATCACCTTAGACTTGGGAAAGAAGAAGAGAAAACTGCTGCGTCTTCAAGATGAAATAAGAAGGGTCGGGGCGCCTGGGTGGCTCAGTCGGTTGAGCGTCCGACTTCGGCTCAGGTCACGATCTCGCGATCTCGCAGTCCGTGAGTTCGAGCCCCGCGTCGGGCTCTGGGCTGATGGCTCGGAGCCTGGAGCCTGCTTCCGATTCTGTGTCTCCCTCTCTCTCTGCCCCTCCCCCGTTCATGCTCTGTCTCTCTCTGTCCCAAAAATAAATAAACGTTAAAAAAAAAAAAAAAGAAAAGAAAAAAGAAAAAAAGAAGGGTCACGGCATTCAGACGGCCGAGCAACCTGGAGCCACCTAAAATAGACCAGTTGGATCAAGAGGATGGTCAGCGTCCCCATTTTGCATCCGTTCTCTTCCTTTCTCCAATACGGCTTCAGGAAAGTCTTCTCAGGCCCTCTCCCTCCTTTACCAAAATGGGAAAAGGCATGGAAAGCCACTAGGAGCAGTCCTAGATAATTGTTCAGACAGGGGGTACCTGCTCACAAGAGGATGTGCATCTGAAGGGAGACAAGTTGGTTAGGCTGAAAAGCGAGCCTCCAATACCGAAATTGCTGACACAGCAGACAGGGGAGGAAAGATAGTTAACATAATTGGAGGAACGGAGAGCTTCTTGGGACTCAGGAAAGTCCATCAGGCCTGTGAGCTGAGATGATCCATGAGGCCAGTTGTGCCCAGCAAGCATCAGGGTAGGAGACAGGAGGTGGCAGAATGTAAATGTTTTTAATTAAAAAAAATTTTTTTAATGTTTATTTATTTTTGAGAGAGAGAGTGTGTGTCAATGGGGGAAGGGGCAGAGAGAGAGGCCAACACAGAATCTGAAGCAGGCTTGAGGCTCTGAGCTGTCAGCACAGAGCCTGATGTGGGACTCGAACTCAAGAAGCATGAGATCATGACCTGAGCAGAAGTTGGATGCCCTACTGACTGAGCCACCTAGGCTCCCCCAGAATGTAAACTTCAGAGTGGCATTTCAATATTGGATGGGAATGATTAGGAGCGGAGAGAACTGGGGTTTGAATAATAAAATATATTCATTTTGCCTAGAATCTTTTATTTCCTCCCCCTACCCACACTCCGTTTTCCCGGACAAAGCACTGCCCATCCCGCTCTAAGTAGTGGGACTGAACTCGAACAGCCAACTTGCTAAAAATGATTGGCCTGGGTGTGATGGCATGATCCAAGCCTGGCCAATCATGCTACTTTTCTTCTTGGGCTCCCTACAGTAAGTTCAAGGTAATTCAATAGCGAGAGGCAAAGCCTGTGTTGGGGCTCCAGGATTTCCGACTCCAAAGCTAGTTTCTTTCCCATTTTCCACCCTGTTCTCTGGGAGCACAAGGATTTCTCTCAGCAAGGCTCATCTGCTCAGATAAAACTTTATGGTACTCAGACATCCCGGTTGCTCTGAGCTTCAAAACCACGGGGGGCCCTGGTAGCCTGTTGTGCCGTAGCCAGATGGGCATGAGACCCTGGGAAAGTTACTTTACCTCCCTGAACCTCAGTTTCCCCATCTTCCATTTGAGTTAATAACGGTAAGGATCTCCCAGGGGTGTCTTGTGAATTAAGTGAGACAATCAGCGGAAGGTGCTTAGCACATAGCGAGTGCTCTGGCAGAGCTCAGTGAGCAAACTCTGGTCATTACGAAAGAGAAACCCAGGGCCAGACATCTGTCACCATGTCAGCTGTCTGACGTCCCTAATCCCCCAGGCTCTGACCTTCTCCCTCTTCCCAAGCTCAGCCCTGTCCAGGCTATTCTTGTCTAAACTTTCCCAAATGTCACTCTTTGGGTTTTTTCTTCTTTATGCTCTGTGTCTTTATCTAGGTGACATTTTTCCCCCTCCACAGGGACTTTTGTGAGAACAGGAGTAGAAACAACAAAAGGGCCTCTGGTCAGGCTCCCCCCAAAGAGCAGGAGGATATTGTGACCTAGAGACACCCGGAGGGAGTCCCGAGGGAGTGGAGGGGGAGAGGAGGGGGAGGTTGAGCTGAGGGAGTGCTGGGGGCAGTTCTGCAACTAAGCCAAAGGGCAGGCCTCCCTCTCTAGAAAAAACTCCACTGACAGAATCTCAAGGATGATGAGTCAGGGAAATCCAGCTCTGGAATCCTTCACAGACCCTGTTCCGCATGGGAACTTGGGGAGCAGATTAAAACACCTTCTAGCACTTTCTGTCCATATGTGACTATGCTGGCTGGCTCGGTCAGGTCAATCCTAAGCGTCCCCAGGCTGGGTGGCGAGATCAAGACACGGAGCTGGCCCCACCACAGGCAGGCCGTCCCAAGGCTGCAGGCCCCTCGGTTGTGTGTGAGAGGGGTGAGGAGCGTCTCCACGGCACCAGGTGCCTGTAGTACATCAATGAGAGCTTCAGGGAGGGTCGAATGAATGACAGAGAGAAAACGAAGAGCGGGACCTGCTGAGAGGAGGTGTATGTCAAGGGCAGGAGAGGGCTCCGTTCGCAAACACCTCCCTCGGGTCTGCCGGCTCACCACCGCCCAGGCTCTGGAAACTGGCCATGCTCGGGCATGGGCCCCAGCGTGCTCCTGGGTTACCCCTCACTCTTGGATTCAGCCCATTGGATCCAAGAAGAACGCCTGACTGGAGGTAGCCAGTCTGATTCTTTCTTCCGGGAATCGGCGCTCCTTACCTGTGAGAATGGCAGGTGAGGGGCAGACAGGGCCATCGCTGGTGGGAGGGTCCAGGGCACGGGGCCAGTCCGAAGCCGCTCTCGACGCTGTTCTCCCAAGGCCCATGCTGTTAGCTGGGAGCCCCAGGACTCCCCAGTTCACCCCCATTTATGGCTTGAGCTGGCAAGAGTCCACTTATGTGCTTGCAAACAGAGGAACCTGCTGCTTAGGCCCACACATGGTCACAGGCCGGCCTGTGTGCCGCTGTCATCCACATGTGAGGGGCTTGGAGCCACGGGCCACCGGCCGTGGGCTTCCCCCCCACCCCGCAACACCAGGGCAGCGGAGAGAAGGCAGGCCAGCCAGGCCTTCTGGATGGGGCGACGAGCTCAGGGGAAGGAGCGCTGGGTTGGAATCAGGAAGCCCACCTTTGAGGCTTGGCTCAGCATTCAGCTTCCGTGTGTGACCCTGGACCCTTGTCACTGCGTCTCTCGGCCTTTTGATCTTTTATCCTTTTCTACCTCCGTCTCTCCGATGCCAGAGTTCTTGGACATCTTTGTCTTGCTTTCTTTTTGAAGTTAATTTCTTTTGAGAGTGGGGAGGGGCAGAGAGAGCGGGGGAGAGAATCCCAAGCGGGCTCCGCGCTGTCCGTGGGGGGCCCGATGCAGGGCTTGATCTCACAGACCGTGAGATGGTGACGGAAGCCAAAACCAAGAGTCGGATGCTTAACCGGCTGAGCCAGCCAAGTGCCCCTTGGGCATCTTTTTTTAGTCGCCCCTTCAAACTGGTCCCTCCCCTTTCCTTCCATTCTGCCCTAACATAGGCACACACACACACACACACACACACACACACACACTCACACTCACACATTCCCACACTCTCTGTCCATTGTGCACATATGGGCTTGCATGCCTTCTTTCTTTGTCTTTCCGTCCTTCTCTGTCCCTTGTAAGATGCCTTGAACTCGATGTGCCTTTGCAGCGTATGGTGGGAGGCAGGGGCCGTATCAGTCAGAGTAGGTGAGCTGATGCCGTGGCACCAAAGGCCTCCCAAGCCTCAGGGGGCTTCTTCCTCCGGCTCACTGTCCGCGGTGAGCCCACTGGAGGCCCAGCTTCTTCTAGTCGCTCTACCCCAAGGCCTGGGGATGACAGAACAGTCACTGCCTGGGGAACGGCCCACTCTTTGGCCAGTGGGTTTTGGTGACGGCAGGAAAGAGGAACGTGGCTGTCCAGAAACAGACCCAGAGTCAGTGGTGCAAGTGCCAACAGCTAATTTCCGGGGGGGGGGGGGGCACGGGGGACACTGGTATGGAGCGGGAGAATGCCTCAGGGAAAGGAAAGCAGCTAATAAGGGATGTGGATTAAGCCAGCCACCGCTGTGGGTGAATGCGGTTCGTCCCCTGGGAAATCCCGGGGAAACGGTGAGGAACCCATGCGCCAGGGTGAGCCCGCCTCAGGGGTGAGAGAGCTGGGGTATTTATATCTCAACCCCCCCCCCCCCAGTCGCTGGCCCGGGTTGACAGGGGTGAGGTGTGTATTTCCCTGGCACTCCCAGCCTGGGGTGCGCGCGGGCAGAGCCGTGTTTTGTGGTCTAGACAAAGCCCTTGGGAACAGAGACGCAGACACTGGGGGGACTAAGTCATCAGGATGCTCCAAGAGCTGTGGGCGGGGCGCCGACCGGCTCTGCCTTGACCGCCAGTCACGCATGAGCTCTTTAGTTTGCCCCTAAAGTGATACCGTCACTTCCACTCACGTGCCAGTGGCCAAATAGAGTCACACGGTCATGCAGACCCTCAACGGCACAGAGGATCTAGTCCCGCCAGGTACCTAGACGGAGAGAACGCCAGAATATTTGTGACAACGACGGGGACCCAGTCTGGACTCTTGCTGCTGGTGCAGAAGCAGCCAGACTGAATCTGCCGTGAGACACCAAAGGTCATGTCCACGGGCCACAGGTGGTCTCCTGCTGGAACGCTTGCAGCCTGTCTCCTCCCCCACCCCTCCCTGTGGTCCATTTTGGGTTTCCTCTCCCTGTTCTCTCCCCCTCTCCTCTCAGCAAAGTCATTTCCGGGTTGCCCCTCAGCCCTCCCCTCACAGGTGCCCCAGGGGGGGTTCCTTAGCTGTTCCCATCCACCTCGAAGTTCAAATAAGCAAACACTTTGCGGCTTGCAAACTGCACAGGCAGCCAGTCTTTCTTCTCCTCACCTCACGTGAAGGACACCGTCTTCAGCTCAACAGATGTGGAAACTGAGGCACAGAGGAAGTAGATGGCCTGCTTAAGAATACACAGTTCATGGCAGTCTAGTTGAAAAGGTCCTCGTCCAGGAAATTTTGGAAGGTTCCTGTCTCCTAATCTGGTGCTCAACCTTCCCTCTTATGTGGCTTTTTAAAGGTCAGCTTCTGGGGCACCTGGGAGGCTCAGTTGGTTGGGTGGCCGACTTCGGCTCAGGCCATGATTTCACGGTTCGTGAGTTTGAGCCCCACATCGGGCTGTGTGCTGACAGCTCAGAGCCTGGAGCCTGCTTCGGATTCTGTGTGTGTTTCTCTCTCTGCCCCTCCCCTGCTTTCTGTCCCTCAAAAAAAAAAAAAAAAAAAAAAAAAGAAGGAATAAACATTTAAAAAATTAAAAAAAAAAAAAGGTCAACACCTGACTCCACCCACCATCTAGGGCCACAAGGGCCACCTCCTTCTCGCCATCCTAACTGGCCGGCACCCTATCATTCTGTTATTTCACAAGTGCGTGTCCCTGAATGTGTTCTTCTGTCTTCCTTGAAAGCCCTTTTCTGTCTTCAGCAGCCAGCGGGCACCCGGAAGCTGTCCACCTCCCTCGAGCATAAGAGCTCCTGGGTCTCCTCCCTGCAGACTAGACTTGCTGGCAGGTGGATTCCTCCCACCTGTGGCTACAGCCACTCAGATGCCAGTTCTGTGGCTCACGGCCCAAAGGGCAGCCCAAACCTCCCTCTTTTCATCAGCCAGTCCATTGGTTCAATTCCCCACACCAGTGAAGCTCTCAGCCAGCCCAAGGATCCAGAGCTGGCCCGTTCACCCCACTCCCTCTCCTGGGAGGGCAGCCACTAGAATCTTCTGCCTAAATCACCCCCCTCGGCTCTTCTCTAAACAGCCCATGGCACTGGTTTGGGCTTCCTTGCACTGGGTCCAGCCTGAATTCTTCACCCCCCTCTCAAGGCTCCAGACCTCCGACAGTCATGGCAAGGGGACAGGAGAGGGCGGAGGGCAGGCCTGAGTAAAACCTCGAGAGTCAAGAAGGAATTGGGTATCTCGCTGCCATTGTGGTTCCGGCAGGAGACCACATGTGGCCAGCGGACAGGTGGAATAAAGCCTTTGCCTTCTAGGTCCCTAAGTACGTTAGAACCTGGGGCGTCTGTGGCCCACACTTAGCCCGCACTCGCTCCTTTCGTCCCAACACACAATCCCATTTTATGGATGAGATAACAGAGGATGAAGTAGGCAGATTGAAATCAGAGGGGAGTTGTGTTCATTTATTCTTGAAGAATATTGACTGAGTGCTTATTATGTGCCAGTCGCTGTTCCAGGCACTAGGGATAGACAGACACGGGAAGGAGACAGATAAAAAGTATGTCAACAAAGAAACACGTATAGTAGAGTGTCGAGTCATGACAACTGCCCTGGAGGGAAACAGAGCAGAGCCAGGAGGTGCAGGGAGACGGCACCATCCCGGAAGGAGGGTTTCTCTGTCCAAGGAGGCAGTATTTGATTGGAAACCTGGACAGAGCGGGAAAGAGCATCATGCAAAGCTTGGCAAGAACACTCCAGAAGGAGGGAACGATGCCTAGTGAAGAAGGCACAGAGGTAGAATGAGCTCGGAGGATCTCGGGAGCAGCAAGAAGGCTGGTGTGGCCGGAGCAGAGTGACAGGAAGGGACAGAGGCAGGTGGGCTGGAGATCACGCAGGGCCTTGTATTGGTCAGGGGGACCCAGCTGCTGTGACAGCCACCCAAGCTCTAATGGCTTAACACGTAGAGGTTTGTTTTTCTGCTCATGTAATTGTTCTGTTAGTGTCATAAGACACTATGACACAGGGCACAGGGCTCTTGTTCCACATACCAAGGACCCAGGCACCCTCCAACTTGGGGCTCTTTCATCTCCTCAGAATCCTCGGTGGATCCCCCACGTCTAGCTGGCCGATGAGAAATGCTAGGGGAGAGGCCACGCCCCTGCCCTCCCCGCCCCACCTCCACCCGTGCAAGGAGGCTGAGGCACATTGCAGGGGTGAGTCCAGGACCCAGAGGAGAATGTAGGTTTTGGTGAGCACTGGTGGCCTCCGCCGTGAGCCTCGGTGAGGCACTTGGATTTCATTCTACAAGTGGTGAGTAGCTGTCAGGAGATTGAGAAGAGATGAGGGAAACCATCCAGTTTGTGTTTGAAAGGCTCACTCTGGATGCAGGGAAGGAGGGGCGCTGGAGTAAAGAATCAGCCGGAGTCACCTGGCTAGTTCAGTGCTACAGCTGGAATTTGAACTCCACCAGGCTGGCTCCGGAGGCCTTGGGCTTCGCCCCTGGGTCTGCTGCCTCCCGAAGCACGTCGTGCAGCTGTCAGCTCTTACATGGTTGCAGTAGCCAACCTGCCCACCTGTCTTTCCTGAAAACAGTTCACATGGGAGGTAGAGGACAGGTTTCAGGTAAGTCAGGCCTGGGGTCGAACCCTGGCTCTCTCTGCCCTTAGCAACTACAGGGCCTCTGCCTCGTTCAGCCTCAGTTTCCCAAAGAATGTAGCTCATAGGGTGATTGTGGCCATGAAGTGACGCACTGTGTATGTAGTGTGGCACTGGGGCATAGCGGCTCTGTGCTAGGGGCTCCAGGGACAGTCTTCTAGGTATGCTTCTAGAAGCCTTGGGAAGAGCATCCCTGATCCCCAGTGTTAGGCTTTCCTTTTCCTGGAAGCCTGGGATCCTGTCCTCTGGGCTTAAGGCTTTGCCTCCTACGACCATGCAGAATCCACTGACAGAGGTGGCTACAGTCCAAAGTCCCTGTCAATTCTCTCCAGGGGAAGAGCTTCAGCAAACCCTCCTCAGAAGGCTGCTTGAGCCAGTCTGCAGGGAAGGGAGTGCCCACAAGGGGAAAAGTGGCCCTTAAATCAGGACCAGAGATCCACTTTCCCTCCTGGGCAATTCTGCCTGCTCTCACTCCAGAATTCTCTCACATTCTTTCAATCCATTCCAGGAAGAAGAAGTTGGCCAAACTCTGCTTCCCCCGAGCTCTCGGTGGGATCTCACAGGCTAGGACCTCGCCAGTATGAAGATCTGGGAGTGAGGCCTTGGCACCGACATCTGAATCTCTGAGCACCGAAACTCTGAGCTTTTTTCTTTTCTTTTCTTTTTTAATGTGTATTTATTTTTGAGAGAGAGGGAAACAGAGCACGAGCAGGGGAGGGGTAGAGAGAGAGACACAGAATCCGAAGCAGGCTCCAGGCTCCGAGCCGTCCGGACACAAATCCTGACACGGGGCTCGAACTCAAGAGCCATGAGATCATGACATGAGCTGAAGTCGGATGTGGAACCGACTGAGCCACCCGGGCGCCCCCAAAACTTTGAGCTTCTCTGATGCATGATGTTCGCAATGATTCAAAGGAGGAAAGCTCCAAGAAGATTCTAAAAAGCTCCGACCTAAACCTCCTCCTGGCTGAGCACATTTTGACATGTTGAATAGTGACAGGTGGAAGGAAGAGGGATTCTGACAAGTCTGGGCAGGAGATAAAGCCTGAGGGTGCAGGCTGAGGCGGGAGAGTGTCTGGGGCTGTTCACTGGCCACATTAAGGGGCTGGAGCTAGAGAGCCACAGGAAGGAACTGGGGAGGGCCAAGCAGGAGCATTGAAGAAAACCTGCCAGAACGTTCCCTCAGGACATGCGGAGCTAACAGTTGTGATCTAACAGACAAGTGTGGCTTCAGGGTGGAGAGAAGGACTGGAAGGCCAAGGAGAAGACAAGAGAGAAAGGGAAAGAGGACAGAAGGGGTTTAAAAAAAACCTTGAAAGATAACGGAATTTCAGAGTCCACCGAAAATCTCTCCCACTGCACAACACCAGAAATGGGGGGGGCGGGGTGCAAAATACAACAAACACTCCGAAAGATATCTTTCGGGGCGCCTGAGTGGGTCCGTCAGCTAAGCGTCCGACTTCGGCTCATGTCATGATCTCACAGTTCGTGGTTTCGAGCCCCACATCGGGCTCTGTGCTGACAGCCCAGAGCCTGGAGCCTGCTTCACATTCTGTGCCTTCCTCCCTCTCTGCCCCTCCCCCACTCATGCTCTGTCTCTCTCAAAAATAAAAAATAAAAACATTTTTGAAATTAAAAAAAAAAAAAGCACTGAATTCACAGACAGGTGAGGGCAATCCTCAGGGCCCCCAAATGAAGAGCGAGTAGGAAATAAAGATGCTAAGATGACTGTAGATAGTAGCTGCCCCAGGACATTAGCCCAGCTCCCTAACATAGGGTCTTAAGGTTTTTTTTTTTTGTTTTTTTGTTTTTTTTTTTAATTTTTTTTCAACGTTTTTTATTTATTTTTGTGACAGAGAGAGACAGAGCATGAACGGGGGAGGGGCAGAGAGAGAGGGAGACACAGAATCGGAAACAGGCTCCAGGCTCTGAGCCATCAGCCCAGAGCCCGACGCGGGGCTCGAACTCACGGACCGCGAGATCGTGACCTGGCTGAAGTCGGACGCTTAACTGACTGTGCCACCCAGGCGCCCCGGGTCTTAAGTTTTAAGATCCACATGGCACTTAAGCAAGGTGGGAAATTGGAATTGAGATTCCAGCGTAAAACCGAAATCTTTTTCATCTGGAATGACCTGGAATGAGGCTGGTGGCCTCACCAGCAAAGAGAGACTGAAGGAAACATAGCCGTCTTGGCCTGGGCTCTCAGTTGAAAAAAAAAAGCGAATCTTTCCTGAGAATTTGGGAATCATAGACTCTTTTCTTCTGCAGGTTGGGGTTCAAATGTACACTGCTTATGTGATTTGGAAAACCACAAACCAGGAAGTTTTTTCTTAAAGTCAAGCCAGCTTAGTAGTACCTTGGGGAGCCAACGTTAATCCTCTTGGGAGCCGACGCTCTTAAGCGAGACCTCCCAGAATTCCCACAGATAAGGACAGCCCACGTGGACATGAGGGCACAACCTGTAACTCCAAGGTACATAAGAAAGCGAGCCACAATGAGTGAGAATCAGCAGCTAAAACAAACAGCAGAATTAGACCTCCAGATGACCTCAGATATTGGAATTATCAAATTCGGACCAAAAACCAGCAGGTTTGAATTATTTAGAGAAAAATACTAAAAAAGATACAAAGCTTTTACGCAAACGTGATTTTGTGCCAGCTTCCCAAAACCTCTTTGGGATAGGAAGGGGAAGTTGCATTTGCTCCAGTGTTGGATAAAGACTCAGAACAGAGGCCAGGAGATCTGCTTGGGATCACACATCAGTAACGAGCAGCATCAGAACGTGAAATCCATGGTCGCCTGCCTGCAAACCCGATGCTGATTTCTTGTAAGTCCCCTTATTCTCAATTACATTCTCGAGGGCCGCTTGGACGGGGGGTGGCTTAGCAGTGGCGAAGCAGTCAAGGATCAGTACAGGGAAAAGCAACAGGGATGCATGCCACTGTCCTTCGCTCTGACCGTCTGGAACATTGGGTGCACTCCGTGACCCGTGGAGCCTGGAAACTCCATCCTACTTACCCTAGGAGGTCTGTGTTAGGGTGAGGGAAGAGGTGGAAGAAAGAGTAAGGGAGAAAGAAAAGGAGGGGGAGGAAGAACAAGGGAGGAGAGACACAGATAATGCAAAAAAGCATAATCACGGGGCACCTAGGTGGCTCAGTCAGTTAAGCATCTGACTCTTGATTTCAGCGCAAGTCATGATCTCACAGTTCGTGAGTTCGAGCCCCACGTTGGGCTCTGTGCTGACAGTGTGGAGCCTGCTTGGGACATCTCTTCTCCCTCTGTCTGCCCCTCCTCTGCTCATGCTCTTTCTCTCTCTCTCTCTCTCTCTCTCTCTCTCTGCTCCCCTGCTTACTTGCTCTCTGTCTCTCAAAATAAATAAAATAAACATTAAACAACAACAAAAGAGCATAATCGCATAAAAGGACTGTCCAAAGGAAAAAGCAAACCTTTGGGTTGACAGTTTTCAAAGATCCAGGCTCTGCTAAGTGATCCATTAAATTTTATATCCCCCTCCTCCCTCAATGATAACGTTGTATCTCAGCACATGAGAGCCTCTCTAGGGACCACATTAACCCGCCTCCCTTGCAGTCAGATGTGACCTTGGGGCTAAGTGTTCACGAATAGAATGTGAGCAAAGAGAGGGGCTCCATTCCAGGCTGGAGCCATAAGACAGAGGCGTGCCTCCAAGAAAACCCGGCCTTGATTCTAGACCCCAGGGCTGTGGGTCCACAGAATGACACAACAGAAGGAATCTGGGCCCCTGTACGTGTGTGTGAACGGAGTTGCCCGCTAACCTGGGATGTTACAGGAGAAGGAATTGAACTTGTATCTTCTGAGCTGTTGGGGCTCTTTGTTACAGCAGCCTGGCTTTACCTTACCACACCAAGAAAAACACGCCCTGATACTGCTGTGAACAGGTGACAGAGCATCAGAAGCACACATGTCGCATGATGCAAAGCTCTGTAAAATTCTGACACGAACCAAAAGTCCGTGCCGATGGCTGGAAGAATCGGCAGAGATGATGCCCCTGAAGTGTCATCGTCACCTGGGTGATGCTGCGAGGCTCACGGTTTTTCTTAGTTTGGGTTTTTTTTCTTGATTTTCTAAATACTATTTCACCACCCGTGGAACTTTGACTTTTGTCTCGCAACTTACAGTACCAATTCCATGGACTTCTGCCACCTCTCATGTTTCTTACCATCGTGAGGCATATTTTTCCCTCTGAGTATTCAAGAGGGCAAATGCTCTTTCTGGGGGTTCCCCTGGCTGCACAGACAGAGGGAAATGTCCGGGGCAGGAGGAGCCCAGCCGGCCTGGGCAGGCAGTGAGGAGTGGGTCTGCTCACCTGGCCCTTTCCACCCCGGGCTCTCTGCCCCTGCTGGACTGGGGCCTCCGGCTGGGTCCCTGGGGGCGTCTTCAGCAGTTACTTTCCTTCTGAAACCAGAAGCGCCTGGTGGGTAGACAGTAAGCCCTCCCCCTCCCCCACCCATCCACATCCTGAGCAGAAGGGGCAGGAGTGACCCCCACCCAGGGAGGCCCGAGGGTGCTTCATGCAAATCACGCCAGCCCCCATCCCGGGGGAGACTTCGAAAGCCTTGCCCCTGTCCCCACTGTGCTTGGGACACAGTGTCCGGGGCCTGATAGCCCTTTCAGGAAACAGGGCAGGTCAGAGCGGGAAGGGCCTTCCAACACTCCTTGGTCCAACCCCTTCAATTTACAAAATGGGAAACTGAGGCCCAGAGAAAGGGAGTGACTTCCAGGCAGGGTTTAAGTCTCAGCTCCTCAGCAAGAACATTTTTTACCAAACCCCGCTAGCTCTGTACAGATTTGTGTTGGTGGCCTCTTATCCATGGCATGTATTTTGCATCCAGAAAACAAACCACACGCAAATATCCCACCCATTCTCACTGAAAATACACACAGTCCCTCTAAACGCTGACCCTGAGCTCATTAAAACCAAGATGCTCTGGCTCTTGGGAAGGAAGATCGACCCCCACCGCCCCGACACATACACACACACCCCACCCCTGGCGTAGCAGAGGCAGACTCCTGCAGGGATGGCCCCGGGATCCCTGGGGTGGGGGGGGTGCTGAATGTGCCCCCCACAGCACACAGGAGGAGGCCCTACAGCTAGAAGCCGCTGCCCTGGATTCTGGCCCCATCGATACCTGTTTGCTGTGTGGCTATGGGGCCCTCACGTGCCCTCTCTGAGCCTCAGTGTTGCAGGTGAAAAGTCTCAGCGCGGGGGTGGTCCTGATGACATTCTGGGATCGGAATGGCTGAGGAAAGAAACTTTGTTAGGTCCTCAAGTGGGCAAGCAGGACTCTGCTCCCAGACCGGCCCAGCCCAGGAGGGCGCAGAGAGAAGAGCCAGCTTTTGGGTGGGAAGAGGGAAGAGAGGGTCCCAGCTGCCCTGTGCAGGGGCTCTGAGGTGGTTACGTGGCAGGGACAGAAGCAGCTCGTTGGGCGTGGTCCGATAGCACCTTGCATGGTCCTGCCTGGGACTGAGCGGGTCCTCATACAGGGAGGCTCATCCAGCCCTCCCTTCCTCCCTCCCCAGTGCCAGCCAGCAACCCCGTGGCGGGGAGGCCTTCCCTGACTCTGCACCGCCTGTTCCCAGGACGGGGCTCCTGCTGCCTTCTTCGGTGTGGACAATTAACAACTTCTCATCACACAGCAATGCCCACCCCCAACCCCATGTGCTTCTGATGCAGCCCAGGAGTTACAAGTTCTCAGGACTAGTCTTCTGATTCCTCTCCGTGAGTAAATGCACTCACGTGATCACAGCAGCCAAGCCCAAGGCCCGTGCCATGGTTCCCCTGGGGGGCGGGGGAGGGACCTCGTGTCACCCACAGGAGCACGGGAGGGGGCCTCCTGGGAACCGCCAGGTCTGAACAAGAGGATGATCGGAGTTTCTGGCTTTGGTTCTGTTTCTGCCTGCCTTGCGTTCAGCCGTGGCAGCCTGCTCCCCGAAGCCCCGCGGGCTGACTCAGAGGCCAACCGCCTCTCTAACCGCGGGCTTCTTCAGTTCCAGGCCGCCCCCCACCTGCCCGGGCCCGGGCCCTCCCAGCTGGCCTCCACCCCCTCGCCCTCCCCCACTCCTGTCCAATCTCCGCAAGGAAACCTCCTCCCAGCTTTGATTCTGGCTTCTCTTCCCCAAAGCCTCATCGTGCTCTGCTGCTTCTCTCCCCCCCCCCCCCCCCCAGAGAGTAGTTTCTTTAATCCTCTCTGCCAGGAGGCCTCTTTTCTTCCCTGCTCTGAGATCCTCTTCTACCCCTGCTTTTCCTCCTGCTCCTTCTCCCCTTTCTCTGCCTCCTCCACCTCCCCTTCCTCCAGAAAGCCCTCCTTGCTTAATTGGGAAGGGAGAAAGAACATCCCTGAGTCATCTGTAATTGTCCAGCACCATCTCGTCTTCTCTGCCAGATGCTGCAAGTGGCTGGGGCCAGAGAGGCAGGCAGGGGGCCCCGCCCACACTCACTGCCACCCGGTACACGGCTTCCTTTTTGGAATTAGTCAGGCTCTTTCTAAAGTTCATACAGAAAAATAACCAAGCGAGAATACGCAGAGATCTTCTAAAAAAGAACCGTGAGGGGGCCTAGACCTACCAACTATTTAAAATAGTATAAAGCTATGGTGATTAAAACAACACGAATAGACAGACAGATCAAGGGAACAGAAAAGAAAACTCTAGAACGAAAACAAATAGTAACAGCAATTTGGTCTCTGGTGAAGATGGTGTCTCAGATCATTGGGGATAAGACGGGTTATTTATTCAACGGCGTGGAACAAATGGACAACGGAGCTGGGTGCCTGTCTCACACCTTGTACCACAATAAATCTCAGATGCATTAAAGGCATAAACATAAAAATATGGAATCCGTAAGATACTGTTAAAACATACTTTCAATGAGTTTGGAGGAAGGAAAACCTTTTATTTATTTATTTTGATTTATTATTTTTGAGAGAGAGAGAGAGTGCAGGGGAGGGGCAGAGAGAGGAAGGGACAGAGGATCCAAAGCAGGCTCCGTGCTGACAGCGGCAAGCCCAACGAGGGGCTCAAACTCATGAACTATGAGATCATGACCTGGGCCAAAATTGGATGATCAACTGACTGAGCCACCCAGGCCTCCCAGAATGCCTTTTAAAATACATTACAAAACCTAGGGGTGCCTGGGAGGCTCAGTCGGTTAAGCTTCCGACTTCAGCTCAGGTCATGATCTCACGATTTGTGAGTTCGAGCCCCACGTTGGGCTCTGTGCTGACAGCTCGGAGCCTGGAGCTGCTTCAGATTCTGTGTCTCCCTCTCTCTCTCTCTCTCTGCCCCTCCCCTGCTCGCACTCTGTCTCTCTGTCTCTCAAAAATAAATAATAGACGTTAAAAAACTTTTTTTAAATAAATAAAATAAAGTACATTACAAAACCTAGAAACCATAAAGAAAAGGTTTATAAATCTGACTACATAAAAGCCAACATTTCATCCATGGAAAAAAAAATCCCATAAGTAAACCACAAACTGGCATCTCTTAGCACAGGCAAAGGGATTGTGTTCTTAATATGTAAAGATTCCTCCAAATCCAAGAAAAATGAACAACAATCCAGATGCAAAACTAGCAAGTAAAGAATATAAATGGTTCACAAAGAAGGAAGAACAAATAGTTCTCAGACACATGAAAAGAGGCTCAACTTCATTCATAAAAGAAATGCAAATTAGCCTACAAGGAGACAGCATTTTTTTTTTCACCTAGCAAATCAGCAAAGATAAAATATATTTGCCAACACATTTTTGTATATTGCTGGTGAGGGTGTAAATTGGTGCAATCTCTAAAAGAGGCCGTTTGACCATCAAAATTAAAAATTCATATGCCTTCTGACCCAGGAATTCTACCCCTAGATATTTATCCCAGAGATTAAGAACAGAAGTGCATTTTTGTAGGGCTAATGTATTGATGCACCTCTCCTAAAACAAGAAATTGGAAAATGGCCTGAATGTCTACAGAGAAGGTTAATTAAATGAATCAGCCTTAAGATAGAATACCAGCAACCATTTAAAAAATGTAGCTACTCTCAGGGCGCCTGGCTGGCTCAGTTGGAAAAGCATGAAACTCTTGATCTTGGGGTCATGAGTTTGAGCCCCATGTTGGGTGTAGAGATTACTTAAATAAAACTTTTAAAAAAATGTTTTTAATGTAGCTACTCTTAAAAAAAATGTAGCTACTCTCTATGTGCTGACATGGAAAGATCTTCAAGTAAAGCGGAAAAATCGAGGGGCAAAAGAGTGTGGGTAGCACGTTACCTTTTCGGGAAGAACAAAAGTCATCTGCCTTTATCGACATAGACGGTCTCTGGAAGGATTTGTAAGGGAGTGGAGCGGTGGTTGCCTGTGGGGTGGGACTGAGTATGGGAAGTCACAGAGGCACTTTTCATGGGATACCCTTTTGTAAGTTCTGGATTTTGCTTTGATTCTACCCAATAAAATCGTTAAAACAAAACAAAACAAAATAAAGCAGTTCGGGGGCACCTGGGTGTCTCCATCAGTTAAGCATCAGCTCAGGTCGCGATCTCGCGGTCTGTGAGTTCGAGCCCCGAGTGGGGCTCTGTGCTGACAGCTCAGAGCCTGGAACCTGCTTTGGATTCTGTGTTTCCCCTCTCTCTCTGCCCTTCCCCCACTCCTCCTCCTCCTCTCTCTCTCTCTCTCTCTGTCAAAAATAAACATTAAAACATTTTTGAAAATAAAAATAAAAGCAGAACAGTTCTTTCTACAGTCTAAGTGAGCTTTCCTGTCATGGTTGACCCTTGTTTCTTGTGGGTCATGTGTTGTTCTTCTTGTCTCAAAGCCCACCCTGGGAGACCATTCCCATCCCTCTCCAAAAACTTAAAAAAAAAAAAAAAAAAAAAAGGCAGGCATTTCCCACGGGACCCTACCCCCACCCCTGCACCCTCATAGCAGGTACATGAAGCCCTACTCCACTGGAGACAAATGAAAAAGTCTAGCTGTCCCCACCCTGTCCCCCATCCCCAGCAATTTCCATACACTCAGCTGTTTCAACATATGGGCAACATGAAGGCCTGGACAGCACTTCAGATTAGATTCCTGTGTGTGTGTGTGTGTGTGTGTGTGTGTGTGTGTGTGTGTGTGTGT